AAAAAGAAAAACACGACAGGTTGTAATCATGACTATATCTCGATTGACCTACTTCGAGTAGAAGGAGTGGCACAAATCTTTATACCATCATTATCAATTAGCACCTGGTCTATTGCAATACAGCATTCGATTGCAATCCATCAGTCAAACGACACTTGATACCAGAAAAGAATGCAGAAACCTTTATCTTGAAATGCTTTCCCGATCTGAAAGTTGTTTAAATACTACATGTACAATGTAGGTCTACAATGTTTGTAATTAAATCTAAATTCACATCTTAAAACTCCACACTTTTTCGGAAACAACAATTGTTTTAATGTTAACATTAAAATTCCATTTTCATAGTATCGGTCAATGATTACTGTTTATTTTTCAAAGCTTTGAAATTCTGAAAACAATATCTTTGAAAAAGAATATGATGAATTTTTAAATGAACTTTTTGTTTTTTCTATGTCTGAATCTAGAAGGTCACATAGAATAACATGCAATTATAAGCTAAAACGATAACGACAGTATGTAGTTGAGATTTTAAACGGCAACGCGATATTAAGCCTTAAGCCATTGATCGCTGTGCGATTTTCGAGTAAGATTATTTTTACGGCCGACAGTACGTTTTTGTAGATAGTTGGAGTTTATTTGACAAACTTGAGACACATAAGATGAATTTTAATTTAAAATTGGTTGGCATTTGCAACACATATTTTTGTTTGTTTGTGATTTACGTCCTATTAACAACTATGGTGGTGGAAGAAAGCCGGAGTCCCCGGAGAAAAACCACCGACCTTCGGCCAGTACATGGCGAATGCCCCACGTACTGTAGGTCTCAAACCCGCGACCCAGTGGTGGAGGGCTGGTGCCAGCAGAATTTCAGACGCCTTAACCACTTGGCCACCGCGGTCCCCAAATCTTAACAGGTTATGTAAATTGTGCAACACTGATGTAGAAAACGAGTATCATTTTTTGATGGAATGTATATTTTATGATGATCTTAGATCTTTAATTTGAACGAAAGCGAACAATGTATATGAATGTTTCAATGATATGAACAAATTTGAACAGTTCAGATATTCTCTTATGTGGAGGAGAAGAACTATGTTTCTCCCATATTAACTTATTTATTATAATTAGATATGCAGGTATGGGGTGGGGGATATATAATTTGTCGGTAGGGATAGGCCCAACCACTCTTGTATATCTCTTACCCTGTTTGGGTGCATGGTATTATATATATATATATATATGCAAATTATAGTCCTGCTACAAATAACATTTTATCAAGCACAATTGTTTTTACAAAGACTGGTTACAATAACATTATATATCTGAAGATACTAAATAGAGTGATTGTTTTTATAACGTGTCTAATAAGTCATTTTGGCTAGACACATTTTATATTCAAAGGTATGTATGTATTGTGATTTAATGAATACTATGTGTTTGACACGAAAATAAAATATTTGAACTTTGAACTTGAACTATGAACAGCAAGTCTTCAGAAGGTTTTACGGATATTTGGCGTTTATTTAACAAAATAAAGGAATCTGTGACTATCCTTATTTCGAAGTGTACTAAAGATATCACCAGATTGTTATATTAATAGAATTCGTCTCACTATATCTCAAAAGTTAATAAATCTGTTTAGAAGCTTGGTTTAAAAATAAGACAATTTATTTGTATGCATTTAACTACGTTGACTTTATTTCTAAATATAGTCATTTTCATGCTATCGAGGCTAACAGTCAATCGCGACGCGTTGTTGAAATTGGAAACGTAAATCAACAATTTTAATGGATACCTATTTTCCAGACAAGCATATTACATGCCGATTGATTTACTATGAAGTTACAGTATAATCGGTGGTCATATTTATGAAAACTCCGTGACTTCGAACCCTCCACCATGTATCATGTTCTTGTATCTCTGACAGTTCTGTTTATGTTTGGTGTGTACCGCATGGTATTCCAGAGGTTCGATTTAAAACTCCCACACAACATTCTGAAAAATAACCATCAGTGTACTACGAGATGCTCCCTGTGGTCCAAGTATGGAATTCACTGTCGAGTAAACAACCGTACCATTTAAATAGTAACTACGTATACAGGGAGCGCTCGAATGGAAAGCATATCCAATAGTACTTGATTGCATTTAGGTGCGTTCGAATACATTTGTATATTTTTTTTTATATACATGTACTATTGAATGGTACTTAGATGCCACTGAGTGCATCTAAATAATTTAGATAATGTTAAATACGATAGATTTCGTGTTTGTATTAAATAATGTTATGCTAAATCGTTGTTGGCGACAAATTTCTTATATGACTACAAATGTGGATTTTACATTATATTTGAATGGAATTGTCTAAACGGAAATAGAAGGGTTTACATCTATCATTGATACAAGTATGTCAAGTTTTCCTCCCTTAACTTTACTTTCTGATATTTTTTCCAATGAGAGTAAACACATTCAATTGTTCTTAAAGCTACTGCTGGGTGCATTCGAATGCATTTGTGTCACCCTGGTAAAATAGGGATAATTTCTTTTTAGCTAAACCAGAGGACCCGGGTTCGACTCCTAGCGGAAGCCTTGACAGGACCCAGGAACTATACTATGCGATACTTTCACAAGAATCGAAATGACCACTGGAAAACTCGGGAAGATTTTTTTCCTAGAGGGGGGGGGAATGCTTCTATGGTACATGTAAAATATAAGCGGCTTCCTACCAGCTTGGCTAGGGAGAAATTTCTCTTTAGCTCACTCGGTAAAGCGTTCGACTAGTGAACCAGAGGTCTCGGCTTCGACTCCTAGCGAAGGCAGCGAAGGCACTGAAGTGACTAGTGACCCCTGTTACATTTTCTTAATGATACCAAACTACTACAGTGTGAGTTCAAAAACCTTTTTTACTATTCATGAGAAACCTGTCATACAGGCTTCAATTCACACTAGATTTAGGACAATAAGGTGGCAGATTGAATTGCAACACCTATATAGAGGCAAACCCTGTATTCGTGTGAAAGGATATTAAAATATTCACATGTTTTATTTTAATGTAAAACGATCGCTTTTTTCGAAATACAATATTTCTGATCTAATATACCGTTTATTTCCTGTTAAACAGCTGTTGACCACAAATATTTGCAAACACACCGCTTATTGCTCATTCTCAATCTCAGCACGAAGTGAGAGCGGGTCATGAGAGAATGACATACCATCTGTTTACAATCACATCTATTCGTCAGTAAATTGAGTGTGACGGAGTCTACTTATGACAACTACAAAGAACTGTGTTACGCCATTTTATACTCCGCCGACGACTGCGGAGTCGGGTTACTGGGAGATCATATAGACCGTTAAAACATTAAAAATTAATCTCGCTGTGGTTTAAGAACAGATTACAGCCAATGTTTACACGATTTTCTGTGCTTGGTAAAATGTTCTGGTTTTAAGATTGGGTAATTGCCAATTTGCTTCGGCCTTTACTAGTAAATTATCAGATATACATTAGCCAACATGATAACTATAATGTTTTCGCTGGTCGTTTTTGTTGAATATTTCATCATCGAAAGACAGATAACATTGGGTGTCTTCATGAAAAACGGCTCTACATAATCATGATATAAGAAACAGCAGACAGTTATGCTGATATGTTTTCAAACAGAGCAGGGCTTAAAATGTGTTTTGAGTTGAACGATTTTAAAGTTAAAATATCCTGCACTGAAACAACTCTGTTGCCAGCCTCAAAAAGATAATTCCGACGAAGTGATATTTATAGCAATAAGCGAGATGTATGACTTCAATAGTCCCAGGTAGAGAATAAAAAGGAGGAAAGACAACAAAACCATCACTGCGTATATTGGTATGGGTGAAAAGTGTCGAGGCTGGGTTTTGTTTCTGTAGTGTATTTCAGTACATATTTGATTACGCTATCCTCATATATCTCTAACTACATGTAGATGAAGAGCACACCACAATACATCTCCAGCACACACGGAGGCATACACACATAGGGAGATATTAGCCAGGTGGCATAGGATTAGCAGTTAGCGTCTGATAAGGCAGCTCCTGCGAATTCTTTAAAATTGTATTGATTAATGAACATGCTAATTGCATTAATTGTATACCTTTATAAAGCGCTCTAGAGTAACTTATTCGTGTTAGATAGGATGCTTTATCAAATGTTGTGTACAATTTTTACTGTTACTAAATAATTTTATTAACTTTTCCTTCGTATGTCTTCGCAACGGCTAAAGTCATGGTAATCCCCGCTGTCTACACATGACCTTAGCTGTTGCAAGGTATGAAGCCGTTAGAAAATGAATAAATATACAAGTAAATAAAACAAAACCCCTAAAACTAAAGCCATCACATATAGTAAACCTACCTAAATGTCTGATATATATATGTGTACATATGTAAATATATCGGGACCATGTCCAGATTGTCCGGCTGTTGGCAATTGCAATTTGAAAACTAATTTTCTGAAGAGGCTAGACGGTTTATTTAATGGTCTAGATTTGCGCATATTTTTCAGATACACAGTATGTGATTTGGTGCCGAAGATCGTGAATTCGGAGCCTGAATGAACAGTGTACGAGTTTGAATTTGTCTATTTCCAGTTATAAACATTATGTGTCATATGCACTAGTGCACGTTGTTTGAAGGTTTCAGATGTGAACTACCTGTCGTAATTGTACTGTATCTTCAATACGACTCATCAGTTTGGAACTGTGTAAACACACTCAGTCATAGCTTAACAAAGGGACGAGTCGGTCTTGGAACGTTGCGAGACGTTTAATGCGTACACTGTTTGTGTGGAAAGTAAAAATTTGATAAAGAAAGTAATTGTACTATGTCTAATAAATATTAAATTATGATACCGTTTTTATCAACTACCCAAACGAATGATACATACATAACATATAAAGTAAGTTCTCCCCTATTACTTACCTAAACATTCGATACTTGTATCATATATATTAACACTATTTTGTGTCACTTACCTCGGAATGAAAACTGTCCTGTTTCCACACTTTTGAACACTTTTTTGATTCCGTTAATTTGTCACAACCCTTCGCTCACTATTTGAGTCCTGTACGTTTGGACGTTACTCCGCTAACTGTGTACTCCTCCGCTACATCTAATAGCTTTGGCGTCCCTCCGATCTTTGTCGATCCTTTATATTTCCTGCTGTGCAATCACCAAGAACACGTGTTTTTAAATTCAGATATTTTTTTCTTTGTGTTTGTTTCTGTTTACAACAGAATGTGTGTTTTAACACAATTTGACATGTTACCAGCACGTCTATGTTGTTCCATGGTGATTGTATCGCTGACGGCAAGCTCAGGCGAGAGAGGTTTTGCTGCGTACCGCACGATATGTGTCAAAGGAATTAAAACGTTATTGGATACTACGAAGAAAAAGTATGCCGATATGTAAAATCGATAAGTGATATGGGTACTAAATGGTGTACAGCCCTCGACACGTGCAGGTAGACCCGCTCCAAGCCACGTTGTGCGTATAACTCCCGCCACGGAGGGAGGGACCATGCTATAAAGACGGGGGAGATTGACTGGAAATCAATATGTTGATGAAGCCTTCCGCTCGTGCATGGCCATGTCCAGATACTTAATGCGGACCATAGTTTGAGAATATGCGCAAGTCATTTAAAAAAAAAAAAGAAAGAGAATAAGTTGTTAAGTTGTATTAAGTTGTGCCACATCCCTTGTTAAAAATGTTGGCAACACAGTAAATGTGTGTTTAAGCAATTTGTCTCACTGGTTACCGTGGTAGGATTTAAAAATCCGCACACGGCCCTTTATAAGGCCATCCGTCAGGTGTGGGTCCACTGTCCTCCTCGTGAGTTATGGGTTAAAAGGCCGACATACCTTACAAGTGGAAATACCAAGCATCCATGTAAATTTCAGTCTCTTTGTCACTAGTCTTTGCATCGACGATTTCAAAAGATGATTCCATTTGTTTTACCGGTCCGCTTTCGTTTATGACGTTCCCAACGGTTCGATTGATCGGTTAAGAGTTGTGCATTTCCGAAGTTTTTTTCTTTTAAGACTTGTCTCTTGGTCTTACTTGAAGTCGTCAAACATCGTATTGACAACTATACACTATTAACACACCTGTAACCACTTCTAGTGAAAAAATATACACACTCCTCTGTTGATCAGTTAAAATGGACACAGCTGTTGACAACCTATTATTAAATTTGAATACACCTGCTAACCAATTATAATAAAACAAAGGGCACAGCTGTTGACCACCTCTTGTAAAAGAAGAGACACACCGACAGATTTTTTTATAAATCTAAAGACACATGTTTTGACCACGTCTTGTAGTAAAAAGGGACACGTCTGTTGACTCCTCTAGTAAAACAAGGAAATACCTTCAGGTAATCCTGTAAAACAAGGAATGGCCAATAGTGCTGACTGTCTTTACACTTGGAAAACAACGAAATGACACACTGACCACATTTAGCATGTCCAGTAAAGGAAGAAGGCCATATGTATGTGTGACAAATGCTTTAATAAAGGCGGTGAACATATCTGGCTATCGCTTTCAATATCACACAAGTACAAAATCCAAACTCAATTCAAGTTCACCATAAAGCGAGTGTAATTATTTGATAATCACTCAACTGGCATTGTCTTATATGAAGTGGAAAACAGCTTGAAATTTATTTAAATCACTCATGAAATATGTTTTTATCTGCATAAAGTCTGCAAAATGACAATAACTATTCCATTGTCAGGTACTTGAACAGTGTGTTCCTTTTTTTATTCAATAACTGGACTTGATAAATTTTACACATGCCTAAAAATGTTTATATTAAGGCCAAAAGTAAACTGTGAATTTCAGTGCAAAATTACATTAAAATCAAACTGAACGTACAACATACTTCATATTGTCCTTTCATTTATATATATAAAAACATTTTAAACTCTGAAAGGACGGTGAAAAAAATACATTCACCCAGGGGTTTCTTCAAAAAAACAATCATATTGTATATGTAGAGCTACACTGGTGTCTGAATTTTGTATGTAAATATTCCGTTAACAGTCATAGAGCCGACTGTATGTATTTTGATAAGGTAGTAATCGCACTGAATTATCTAAGACATTGTAATTATAAATTATGATAATTAATAATCGATACGAAGTACATCGCAAGGGAGCACCTATTCAGTTTGTTGAAGCAAGAAGCCATATGAGGCGAACTAAGGAAGCAACTTTTCAATGATTCAGTTTGTTGAAGCAAGAAGCCAAATAAATCAAAGTAAGGAAGCACCTATTCAATGATTCAGCTTGTTGAAGCAAGAAGCCAAATAAAGCGAACTAAGGACGCAACTATTCAATAAATCAGTTTTTGTTGAAGCAGAAAGTCAAGAAAAGCAATCACTTTACTGCAACTCATTGCCTTTTTGGCCCTCCTAGGACTAAGTTGTACTAAAGATCAAAAGAATAAAAAAACACTACTTAATGTTTTCCGAAACATATGCAGAAATACTGCGTAAGGGAAACTTTGGTTTGGTTCGGTATTGTTTGTGTGCCGGAGACAGGTTATGTTGGTGTCCGAAAGGGAAGCGGTGCCAATACAAACTGTATAAAGTTAGCGTGGAAAGCATCAAAGAAACTGTAATCATAATATTTGTAGGGTTTAACGTTTATTTTCTACAATATAAATCGACAGGAGATGGTTAAAGCAAACATGAGTTCATTTGTTCTGCATCTCATATACTGGTTGGTATTTTATTGTTTTCTTCGACTGGAGGAAGTTTGTAGACCCGTTTCATAAATGTAGCATGAAACATCATCACAGGTATACGATTTCTGCTACAATTTGATCAGCTGCTTTTCCGGTATTCTGAAACTTTTCAGATTAAAAACCATCCCATATATCTCGCATGCATATAGAGGCGACATACACATGAGTTTATTTGTTCTGCAGCTCATACGCATGTTGGTATCTCATTATTTTCTGCGAATGGAAGGAGTTCATAGACCCGTTTCATAGTATGCTTATCAATACAGATATAGGATTTCTGCTTTAACACGAGCAGCTTCTCAACAGAGTAGCATGACTCAGTAAGCGTTTACATGTAAATTTACGTAAACCGTTTACATTTCACTGACAGAAGTTTAAAATTCATTGACACCACCCTCCCTTTTGCACTTGAATTATAGGTCACACCTAAATGTTTATTATAAACAACGAAGTTAAGAAATCTTCTATCGAATTCTTACTCTAAAACTCTTCGTTGTCCAAAGAAATTGAATTGTTTTTGTTCATTTTCAAAAGAACTCAGCGATGTAAAGGTCCTTTGTTTTGTATGGTCTGTGTAATGCATTACTTGCCATTTTTGACGGTTGGTGAGAAAATTGTCAGAATTGCTTTCTCATAATTGCTTGGCTGTCAAGAAAAAACAGTCTAATTGTAATAGACAATGAAGACAGGTATACCGTGTTTGATGCTGATCGCTTAATACATGTATCTCCATCTTATTAACACTGACGTCAAAAATGTAATCATTCCTTGTTACAATGTACACGATACGGTTTGCTTGAAAAAATATAAACATACACTGTGACCATGTCTTGAATCAATCTAACAATACACTGTGATCATGTCTTGAATCAATCTAACAATGATCTGTGACCATGTCTTGAATCAATCTAACAATGGTCTGTGATCATGTCTTGAATCAGTCTAACAATACACTAAGGTCATGTCTTGAATTAATCTAACAATACTCTAAGTTCATGTCTTGAATCAAACTTTCAATGGTCTGTGATTATGTCTTGAATCAATCTAACAATGCTCTGTGACCATGTGTTGAATCAATCTAACAATGCTCTGTGACCATTTCTTGAACCAGCCTAACAATACTCTGTGATCATGTTTAGAATCAATCAAACAATACCCTGTGATCATGTTTAGAATCAATCTAACAATGGTCTGTGATCATGTCTTGAATCAATCTAACAATGGTCAGTGATCATGTCTTGAATCAATCTAACAATGATCTGTAACCATGTCTTTAATCAGTCTAACAATACTCTGTCATTATGTTTAGAATCAATCTAACAATACTCTGTGATCAAGTTTAGAATCAATCTAACAAAGGTCTGTGCTCATGTCTTGAATCAATCTAACAATGGTCTGTGATCATGTCTTGATTCAATCTAACAATATTCTGTCATCATGTTTAGAATAAATCTAACAATACACTGTGATCATGTCTTGAATCAATCTAACAATACTCTGTCATCATGTTTAGAATCACTCTAACAATACACTATGATCATGTCTTGAATCAATCTAACAATACTCTGTGATCATGTCTTGAATCAATCTAACAATACTCTGTGATCATGTCTTGAATCAATCTAACAATACTCTGTCATTAAGTTTAGAATCAATCTAACAATACTCTGTGATCATGTTTAGAATCAATCTAACAATGCTCTGTGATCATGTCTTGAATCAATCTAACAATACACTGTGATCATGTTTAGAATCAATCTAACAATATTCTGTGATCATGTTTAGAATCAATCTAACAATGCTCTGTGATCATGTCTTGAATCAATCTAACAATGATCTGTGACCATGTCTTGAATCAGTCTAACACTACTCTGTCATCATGTTTAGAATCAATATAACAATACTCTGTGATCATGTTTAGAATCAATCTAACAATGGTCTGTGAACATGTCTTGAATCAATCTAACAATACTCTGTGATCATGTTTAGAATCAATCTAACAATACTCTGTCATCATGTTTAGAATCAATCTAACAATACACTGTGATCATGTCTTGAATCAATCTAACAATACTTAGAGACCCTGTCTTGATTCAATCTAACAATGCTCTGTGACCATGTCTTGAATCGGTCTAACAATACTCTGTCATCATGTCTTGAATCAATCTAACAATACACTGTGATCATGTCTTGAATCAATCCAACAATACACTATGATCATGTTTTGAATCAATATAATTGATTTACCTCATCACAATGTGTACATTGAAATGGGACATGAATAATACCTATTGCATACAAACAAGGGACATACATAGTACGTAGTGTTACAAACACGCCTAGACCATATACTGCATTGCAAGGTTAATTAGATAGGGACACCAGAAAAATGACTCGACTTGCTTTAACAATCAGCATCAAAAAATGGAATACATTGTCAGCAGAAATATTTCAATTTCAAAATCAACTGTCAGTTGTGAAGTTAATTTGAGACATAACTGACATGTACTCGCTATAGTCGAACGAGAGTTAAGTGATAGTTGAGCGAGACTAAACCTCTTAAAAATGTTCTTTACCTGTTCAAACTTGATTACAATGTCACATGATTTTCAATGACAGTATCTGCCCTACCGGGAACAAACTTTCCTTGATATGGATTCCGAGATTTATTGCCAATTCACCAATAATTTAATAAAATCGGAATAAAGCTAACATGCAAATTCCTATTTA